TTTCACGTTTTTTAACTTTTAGTTTTGCTTTTTTTTTTTTTTTTTTTTTTTTTTTTGCGTAATAGGAAAGTATGACAGTTTTGTTCATGTATTGCGATTTTGATGTGACTTTACACTATCTGGCTCTGAAGTAGCATCAAAGTTGCATCAAAGTAGTGCAGGAACCTTTACCCCTGGTTCACATCTGTGTGGGTGGTGCCACTGCAGATCCGCACCAAAGTCCATGCAGCTGCACCACCTGCACAGAGAAATGCGGACCCGTGGGCGGGTGCCATTAGTTCTAATGGCACGCCGCCCACACTGGAAAACACAACCGTACTGGGAACTAAGGTTCCCATGCCGGCTGCGTTTGCCAATGAAGTGCAGGGACTTCTTCCCTGCGTGTCACAGGCACGGGAGTTCATTCATATGAATGGGCTCTCGTGCCCATGCAAAACGCAGCCCGCATGGCCACATATATGTGAACCGGGGGTAATGTGTCCTTTAAGTTGCATGTTAGGGATAAATGTTGGGGTTAAGGGTTAGCGGTAATTGTTAGGATTAGCATTCTAACCCTAACGTTTAACCCTTACGCTACCCCTTAACCCTGACTTGCGATTTTGGACACATAAAGGTTCCTGCACTACTTTGATGCTACTTGAGTGCCAGAGAGTGTAAAGTCACATCAGGGTCGTCCTTCATGAACAGAGCTGTCATACTTTCCTACTAGTAAAAAAAAACCTGAAAACATATAAAAAACTCAACACTTGCATTTTTGGTGCGGGTTAGTGGTGCACCGAAATAAAAATTCTGGTGCCAAAAATGAGAAATCAAAATGCACTTGGCTGAAAACCGAAAGTTTTTAAATATGAATATATATTTTTTGGAAAAAATACACTGATTAAAAAAATAATATATACCCCAATTTTTTTGTAAAACATGAAAGAGGATGTTACGGCGAGTAAATAGATACCCAACATGTCACGCTTTAAAATTGCGCACGCTCGTGGAATGGCGTGAAACTGCGGTACTTAAAAATCTCCATGGGTGATGCTTTAAAAACTTCTACAGGTTAGCAGTGTAAAGTTACAGAGGAGGTCTAGTGCGAGAATTATTGTTCTTGTTCTGATGTTCGTGGTGATACCTCACATGTGTGGTTTGAACACCGTTTACATATGTGGGCGTGGCCTACGTATGAGTTCACCACTACGTGCAAGCACGGGGGGGACGGGGGCACTTTAAACTTTTTTTTATTGTTATTTATTTAATTTTTGTTTGTTTGTTTTTTTGCAATTAAAAAAAATTGTAATCACTTTTATTCTTATCACAAGAAATGCATGCATCCCTTGTGATAGAAATATTTAGTGACAGGTCCTCTTTATGGAGAGATATTGGGTCAATAAGACCCCACATCTCTCCTCTACAATGTGAAGCATTGGATCAAAAAAAAGCATTGCTCTTTGAAAAAAAAAAAAAGAGAGACTGGAACCGGAAGTGAGATCGCTCCGGTCCTCCAAGGGCATAGAGATGAGTGGCGGCCATCTTTCCTTCACTCATCTCTATGCCCAGCGCTGGGATCAATGGTTTCTCAGGTAAGGCTGAGAACTACCAAGGGTGGGCGGGGCGAGGTTTTCTGGCACCTGTATTGGTGCTTTTTTTTTTTTTCGGCCAATGGCCAATAGGGGTGTTTTCGGCCGAAACGTTTCGGCCACCAAATTTCGGTGCATCCCTAGTGCGGGTCAATTGAAGTCTATAACGCGCAAAACGCAATCTACTGCGGGAAAGAAATTCCCCGACCCTTTCCAAAAACACACCGGCTCAAAATGCACAGATGTGAACTAGATCCATAGGAAATCATGTTAAATGTACTGTAGTGCATTTCTGCAAAACGCACTAAAAAACACCATGTGAACCAGACCTAAAACCTGAAGCTGATTGGTTTCTCTGCACAGCTGCACTAGATTTTGCACTCTCCTGTGTTAGTAAATCTCCCCCTAATGTTTATAGCACCAGTGAATTATTTTCTTAGGACTGGCTATAATATGGGCCGAGGTTGAACTCTGCAGAACTTTGCCTTTTTAAAACCTAATGAATATAACAATCAGCAGTGGACGTGACAGCGCAGTCTGTTGTCATGCATGTTTTTGCTCACGTGTGCGACGAGTCAGCAGATGACTCGGCAGATTCGGTGTTGTGAAATGTTACGTGTCATGTGAGTCAGGGAGAGCAGCTTTCACTTCTCTGTTTTCCATGAGAAGCTGTACAGAGATCATAGGACTTGTTCGCCCCATAATATGGAACGCTGCAACATGCACATTTTTGTACATTGCTTTAGGGCAGCCCCTCAAAATGGGCTATCGTTACACTTTAAAGTGGTCTTTACCCCCCCACCATATTTTTTTTTACACTCTAATGCAGGCCATGGACGGGTAGAAAACCAGCTGTTTTTTAAAAAAAAAAAAAAAAAAAAAAATCGTTTGTTCAATTGGCCGACGTTACCACCAATGGTAAAAAAAATCGGCCGATTTTCATCCCATCTACGGCCGGCATTTAATTACTTCTGTCCCTGCAGAGAGCTCCGCTATTATATTTGACATGAAAAAGTATTGAGGTTGCAACAATGTATCTATTTGTATCCATTTCGGATACAGATGTTTTTATTCGAATACAAATAGATACAATGTTGCAACCGCAATACTTTTTCATGTCAAATATAATAGCGGACTGGAATTCTTCTCCTTCTCCTTCTTCTTCCTAATTAGCCCATTAACGGGTCGAAAATCGGCCGATATTTTTTTCTTTTTTTTTTTTTTTTTTTTTTTTTTTTTTTTTTTTTTTTTTTTTGGCCCAAAAATCGGCCGATTTTCGACCCGTCTATGGCCTGCATTACTCGTATTACTGGTGCATACTGTACCAAAGACAAACCTTTTGTTTGCTTCTCCACTGAAACACTAAAGGAATGTGAAGAAAATCTCTACTTTAGTTCTTACATTTCTCCTGTCAGCTCCTCCCCTGCCTGAAGCCCAATTTGTGAGCAGTACTGTCATTGAAGTCTGGCAGAGCTCAGTAGCCCTTGTTCAGTGAGTGCGCCTGTCAGGGGCACTGATGTGCTTCATTCCAGCTTCAATTGGGTGCTGTCACAGTAGTGCTGTGCTTGTGCTCCTACACCCAGTTCCCTTGTCCCATCTCTTGTTCATCTCTTGGCAGGCTGAGCAGGATCCAACTGCAACCTGCGACCCAGCTTCATTGGTTGTCATTGGCTGCACAGTGTCATACATTTCCATTGTGAGGGCAGCCTGGGCCTACATCATCTTTCAATGTTGGGTGCTGGTGGCTGGTGAGAGCACCTACACTATATTGCCAAAAGTATTGGGCCAGCCCTCTAAATCATTGGATTCAGGTGTTCCAATCCCCTCCATGGTCACAGGTGTATACAATCAAGCCCCTAGGCATGCAGACTGCTTCTACAAACATTTGTGAAAGAATGGGTCGCTCTCAGGAGCTCAGTGACTCCAAGCGTGGTCCCGTGATAGGTGGCCACCTGTGCAATAAGTCCATCCGTGACATTTCCTGGCTACTAAATATTCCACGCTCAACTGTTAGTGGGATTATAACAAAGTGGAAGCAACTGGGAACAACAGCCACTCAGCCACCAAGTGGTAGGACACGTCACATGACAGAGCGGGGTCAGGGCATGCTGAAGCGCACAGTGCGCAGAAGTCACCAACTGTCTGCAGAGTCAATAGCTAAAGACCTCCAAACTTGGTGTGGCCTTCAGATGAGCACAACAACAGTGTGTAGAGAGCTTCATGGAATGGGTTTCCATGGCCGAGCAGCTGCATCCAAGCCTTACATCACCAAGTGCAATGCAAAGCGTTGGATACAGTGGTGTAAAGCACGCTACCACTGGACTCTAGAGCAGGGGAGACGTGTTCTCTAGAGTGACCAATCACGCGTCTCTGTCTCGCAATCCAATGGACGTGTCTGGGTTTGACAATTGCCAGAAGAATGGTACTTGCCTGACTGCATTGTGCCAAATGTACAGTTTAGTGGAGGGGGATTATGGTGTGGGGTTATTATTCAGGGGTTGGGCTTGGCCCCCTAGTTCCAGTGAAGGGAACTCTTAAGGCGTCAGCATACCAAGACATTTTGGACAATTTCATGCTCCCAACTTTGTGGGAAGAGTTTGGGGATGGCTCCTTCCTGTTCCAACATGACTGCACACCAGTGCACAAAGCAAGGTCCATAAAGACATGGAGGAGCCAGTTTGAGGTGAAGGAACTTGACTGGCCTTCACAGAGTCCTGACCTCAACCCCATAGAACACCTTTGGGATGAATTAGAGCAGAGACTGCGAGCCAGGCCTCCTCCCCCGACATCAGTGCCTGACCTCACAAATGTGCTTCTGAAAGAATGGTCCAACCTTCCCATAGACACCCTCCTAAACCTTGTGGACGGCCTTCCCAGAAGAGTTGAAGCTCTTGTAGCTGCAAAGGGCGGGGCCAACTCAATATTGAACCCTACGGACTAAGACTGGGGGCCATTAAAGTTCATGTGTGTGTAAAGGCAGGGGGCCCAATACTTTTGGCAATATAGTGTATCTTTGTTAGAGTTTTTTCCCCTGGCAGTCTAGCTGATATGCCCCCTCCCCTGCGTGCCTAGTGCTGACACAAGAGCTAGCAATCATAACTTATTAGGTATTTGTCTCCTTAAAAGCAGCATGGTCGATCAGTGTTGTGGGGTGGTGGTGGTGGGGGGGGGGGCTGTCTACCTCAATATCTCAGCAGCCAGACCACCTAGAAGAAGAAGAGAAAGTGCTACATTTACTTCCAACCCTGGGAAGGGGGAGGAGTAAATAAAGAGAAGTTTGATGAGACTTCTTTAAGTTTTGAGTACAGTGGGGGAAGTTTAAAGGTGTAGTAAATGCTAGTTTGAGTGTTTATTATTATTATTACTTGCTTTTTCATATTTTCCCTATCCATATGATGTTCGGTATGTTCACCATTTCATCTTTTATTTCAGGAGAATGCAAATACCTCGCTGACCATGTCTCTGGCCCAGACTCCTTATTGCAGAGAGAGGCACTTCGATCCGCAAAGTCCACTTTGTGCTCATGTTATATTCTCCGGAGTCATTGAGAAGGTGAGGCACCGAACTCTGCTTGTGAAAACTGCCCGGATTTATTGGAAGGCCCCCCCAGGCACAGACCTAGAGCAGCAAGTCCTGGGGGATCGGTAAATGTTTCACCCCTAAAGCAGTACTGCCACCACCCAATATATCAGATTTTTTCGTCACCAGTCCGTATTTAACCTCCCTAGCGGTCTGATTATGTCAGTATTTCTGTGCTCAAAGCGGTACATTTTTTGCATGGAAATATGTATTTTTTTTATTGTAGGCCTGTAATTTTTAGGAATAACTCACTGAAATCTGTCCGAACAAGAGTCTAGTAAACATCCCGGGGATGATAAAATTTGAAACACGAAATCATAAATTATAATTTTATAAATAATCATAAAAAAATAATAATATAATAATAATAAATTTAATTCAATAATATAATCAAACCAAAAACACTGAAATTTGAAATATTGCGCCAAGTTCCCACATCACTGAGCAAAGTCGCAGAATCGTTTTCAGTGTCTGATGAGGAATTTCCCCCACGAATCATTATCACTCAATTCTGCAAGTGGTTCTGATTTACTATCGCTGTTCTCTAGCCGGTCTAAAACCGATTTTGACCTAAAGGGACGCTTTTTGGACGCCATGAACGTTTCTCAGTTTCCAGGCAGAAAGAACAGTAAAAATGCAGGCAGGGCGCCGGACAAAGCACTCGGGACACAATGTATGTGAAATGGTTTGATACAGGAATGTTATACTATGTGATTTTAGTGTATTTAGTGAATGTCACTTTTTAAAATATTAAAATTTCCCGCCAGTTCCGTCCCCCATACGTCCCGACGTTTGCAGGGACCAGAACCCGGAAGACAGATGCCGGCATCTGCCGGAGGACATTGCCGGGGACGCTGCAGGGGGGACATCGCAGGAGCGCAGGACAAGGTAAGAGAAGAAGAGATCCCATAACAACCCTGCAGTGTATTCCCGCTTGTGGTAGCGCTGAAACTTTTCCCCGAGCTACACTCGGGAATACCGCCAGGGAGGTTAAAGTGGTTCTAAAGCCTTAAGGTTTTTCCCCTTAATGCATTCTATGCATTAAAGTGAAAAACCTTCTGTGCTGCAGCTCCCGTTTTTCTTACCTGAGCCCAAATCGGCGATCTGCATGAGAGCAAGCGACTCTAGGCGCTGGCTCTCTCCTCAGGGCAGATTGATAGCAGCAGGAGCCATTGGCTTCCGCTGATGTCAATCAAACGCTGTGACACAGGAGTGGGGGGCAGGGGACAGTGCACACAGACAGGGCGGCTCGGAAGCAAGTCTGCATGGGTGCCCCCATGGAAAGCGGTTTTAGGAGGGGGCACCTGCCAAAGAGAAGGTGCCAGGAGCGCCATCAGGGGACCCCAAAAGAGGAGGATCGGGGCTGTTCTGTGCAAAAGCATTACACAGAGCAGGTAAGTATAGACATGTTTGTTATTTTAATTAACCCCTTGCCCTCCAGGGGATTTACCCCCCCCCCCCCTTCCTCACCAGGCCATTTTTTGTGCTATGGTGCTGCATTACACAATTGTGCAGTCATGCAACGCTGCACCCAAATGAAATCTACCTCCTTTTATCCCACAAATAGGACTTTCTTTCGGTGGTATTTGATCGCCTGTGCGTTTTTTGTTTTCTACGCTATAAACAAAAAAAGACCGACAATTTTGAGAAAAATAAGAATATTTTTGACTTTTTTAAACATGTCCAATAAAAAAAATTAAATGTCATCATAAATTTAGGCAAAAATGTATTCTGCTCCATGGCTGTGCTAAAAAAATAATTGCAATACGTGTAAATAAATTGGTTTCCGTGAAAGTTGAAGCGTTTCCAAATTGCGGTATATATACTGGAATTTTTTTTTTGAACTAGTAATGGCAGCGATCAGCAACTTAAAGTGGGACTGCGGTGGGCATTCTGACACGGGGGGAACTGACTTGGTGTCACTGACATTCCCAGTGACACCAGTACAGTGATCAGTGCTAATAAAAAGCACTGACACTGTACTAATGGCACTGGGCAGGAAGGGGTTAACATCTGGGGCGTTCAAAGGGTTAACTGTGTGCTGTGTGTGTTTTGCTGTGCGTGTGCTTTCCATTGTAAGCACCCTGTTTTGTATGGCTGTGCCATGCACAGCCATACAAAGCAGTGTGCACGAGCTGATAGGGGAGAGAACTGTATTGTTTTACATACAATTCTCTCCCCCATCGTTAACACTCAGCGATCATTGGGTGCTGGCGAGTAATCACCAGCCGGGACCCGGTGATTGACAGCTGAGGCTGCTCGCGCGCGCCCCCTACCTGGAGCTGCAAAATCATGTGATATATATATAGTATATATATATATGTATATATGTGTATGTGTGTGTGTGTGTGTGTGTGATTTTTTTTTTTGCACCCATGCCGCCCTGTAGCAGTATTTCTGCTGTAGGGCAGATGGGAATCGGTTAGAAAAAAACAAAACGAAGGTTCGATATCACTTGAATATGGAGCTAAAGTTCCGCTGTTGCATACTGAGTAGGCAGGCTTTTTATTGCAGAAGATGAATGCAGTGATTTTTCTGCAATAAAGTAGCAATGCCTGCCCGCTCACAGCAATCATCAGACTATAAATTGAGCTGCACATGCACAGCTCAGTGTACAGAAGCCAGGCCGATCAGTCTAGCGCCAGCACATGCACAGCACACAGGAAAAGATGTCGGCACCGGCTCAATACCACTGAAAAGGTGAGTATTGATCCCTTTAGGTCCATTTTGACCCTAGGTTCACATCTGTGCGGGTGTTGCCGCTGTGGATTCGCACGAACATCCGTGCAACAGCATCGCCCGCACAGAGAATTGCGGACCCGCCGGGTGCCATTCGTTCTAATGGCACGCCGCCCGCACCGGGAAACTCAACCGTACTGGGAACCTCGGTTCCCGTGCGGGCTGCGTTTTCCAAAGAAGTGCAGGGACTTCTTCCCTGCGTGTCACGGGCACGGGAGTCCATTCAAATGAATGGGCTCTCATGCCTGAGTAAACCGCGGCCCGTACAGCCGCATAGGTGTGAACCGGGGGTAATATCTTTCTTTCAACAAGCAAGGGAGCAGACAGAATCTAGAGTAGCTGTGCATGGCAATTAATCATCTTTTTTCTGCCGCTTGTTTGGTTAAGCGTTGACAACAAAAGATAGAAGCTGATTGGTTGCTGCTCCAGTTTTGATAAATTCCAAGAACATTCTTTCTCATTTAAAACCCTATTGAACTTTGAGTTTAAATTAGGTAAATGCATTTCAGGGGCATCAAACAAAATCTCTGCAAAGTTCTACAGTTTGGATGTCTTTAGAAAGTAGCCACAGCCTGAGTACAAAAAAGCCTGTCCCCTGCCAGCATACCATAGAGTGGGCTACTTGTTCTCTGTGTGGAAGCAGCAGTCTCTCTGTGGAGGTGCAACACACCACCCCATTAAATCAGACCTATAGCTTTGCAGTCAGCAGAGCTTTTGTCCAGTGCTGCCTGGAGAGCTCTGGTTCTGACTCAGCAGGGACTGAGGCAGAGAGGCCTCTGCTTCCACACTAAAACTAAGAGTCCTTTTTTGCAGCATGCTGATAGAGGACAGGCTTTTCTACTCAGGCTGTGACTGCTTTTTCAAGAAAATGTACTGTAGGACTGCACACATTTTGTGAATGCACCTGAAATGTATTCAGCTGACTTAAGTGAAAGTTCGATTGGGCTTTGAGCCTAGACTAACATTACGATGGGGTTGGTTTACTAAAACTGGAAAGTGCAACATATGGTGCAGCTCTGCATAGAAGCCAATCCGTTTCCAGCTTTAAGGCCAGCCATACATGGGTCGATTTCTGAACGATTTTTTGTTTGAAAATCGGACCTAAGAATAATCGGACTGGTTTTCGCTCTGTTAGTGGGGCAATGGCACCGGCCGATTTTCATGGTTTCTCCCCATTTCGTTTATGGGGCATGCTGGAAAATTCGTGAAAAAACGACTGATTTTCGAAATCATTAGTGGCACCATCGGATTACAGAATGAACAATGTTTTCGATTTTTGATCGAAAAATCATTCGGAATTCTACCCATGTATGGCCTGCCTTTATTGTCAAAGCTTAATTGGACAAGCTGAAGTTAGAAGCTGATTGGCATAGAATCCACTCCTTGACGTATAGCACCTTTGGTGCCTTCCCCTTTTATAGGTTTGATCTACCTGTAAAAAGGGGTCAAAACCCTCTGGTGAGTGCGCATTTTTTTTTGGGACACAAGCGGTGAAGAGTCCATCCATTGAAGGACTTACATCATTGTGTGGTGTTGGGTTATACGGTCTGGCAGACTTTTACTTTTATTTCTTTGTTTTCTACTCTGCACAAATTTGTATTTATGTATTTTTGATGTATTATTAGGAATCTAGCAAGCGCCTGTCTTTATTTCAGCATAGTGATTGGATACCATGCACAGCTGCACCATATTTTGCACTCGCTAGTTATAGTAAAGCTGCTTTCACGCTGATTTGTGTGACCATGTATTCCTAAGGAACTCTTCACACTGATCCGTTGCTGGTTAGGTGCGTTTTTTAAAATCCTGCTTGCTGCATTATTGGTGCTGGTTTGGTGCGGTAAAACAAAAAAATGCACCAAAGACGCACACCTCCCCATTGAAATCAATAGAAAAATTGGCAAAAATGGATAAAAAATGGACCTGCAGTGCAGTTCTTGTATGTTTTCGAGTCACATGTCCTGTAAAAATGGGGCAAAACACAGTAAAATCGCATATGCATTTTTGCTAGGATAAACGTGAAAGTAGCCTGACCCCCGGTTCACATATATGTGGTCGTGCGGGCTGCGTTTTGCATGGGCACGGGAGCCCATTCATTTGAATGGACTCCCGTGCCACACAGGGAAAGAAGTCCCTGCACTTCTTTGGAAAATGCAGCCTGCACAGGAACCTCGGTTCCCAGTACGGCTGCGTTTTCCAGTGCAGGCGGCATGCTATTAGGAGTAATGGCACCCGCCCGCGGGTCCGCATTTCTCTGTGTGGGTGGTGCGGCTGTATGGATTTTCTTGCGGATCCACAGCGGCACCACCCGCACAGGTGTGAACCGGGGGTAAATCAACACCACTGTTTCTAGAGTCTTCTAATCCAGCTGATATTGATCAGTTTCAGGTTTGTAAACCCTCAGCACTGCAAGATAAAAAATCATGGCTTAAGGGAGAAGGATACTGATCATGGTATGGTCAGGAAATTTTGAGTGCAGCATTTTACTGGCAGACATTTTGGTTCCTTTTGCCCCATCTCACCATAGTCTGATTGGTTGTCGTGCCTCATTGTTTCTCCTCTCCGTAAAGCAGAACTCTGGGCAAACATTTTATTTCACCATACAGTGGGGCTATGTCCATAATGCATGGGTCAACTGCTCTCTTTCTGTAAGGGTGAGGACAAAGCTCATACTCACCTGACCTGTCGATCATCTGGAAAACCTCTCTCCCCCATGGTTCAGCGGTGGACTGTTCCTTTCTGTGGAGTGTGCATTGAGCGTGCTGACATCAGGAACAGTCCATCTACAAGACAGCTGGACCGCGGGAGGGGGCAGGAGCTGAAGGGTCTGGTCTTGTGCGGGGAGAATCGGCCAGCCAGTTAAGTATATCCCCGCTGTCTTCTCCACTAGAACAAAACGAGCGAATAACCCATGCAGTTTGAGCACAGCTCCACTGATTTTGCCCGGGGTTCTTCTTTAACCTCCCTGGAGGTATTCCTGAGTGTAGCTCGGGGTAAAGTTTCAGCACCACAAGCAGTAACCCCGATCTACACTCGGGAATACACCCATTGCTCCGGGATCTCTTCATCACTTACCTTGTCCTTCGCTCCCGCGATGTCCCTCCTGCAGTGTCCCCGGCAATGTCCTCCGGCCGATGCCAGCATCTGTCTTCCGGGTTCCGTCCCCTGCGACATCGGGACGTACGGGGGACAGAACGGCGGGAAATTTGAAAATGACAAAAAGTGACATTCACTAAATACACTAAAATCACATAGTATTACATTCCTGTATCCAACCATTTCACATACATTTTGTCCCGAGTGCTTTGTCCGGCGCCCTGCCTGCATTTTTACTGTTCTTTCTGCCTGGAAACTGAGAAACGTCCATGGCGTCCAAAAAGCGTCCCTTTAGGTCAAAAGCGGTTTTAGACCGGCTAGAGAACAGCGATAGTAAATCAGAACCACTTGCAGAATTGAGTGATAATGATTCGTGGGGGAAATTCCTCATCAGACACTGAAAACGATTCTGCGACTTTGCTCAGTGATGTGCGAACTTGGCGCAATATTTCAAATTTCAGTGTTTTTGGTTTGATTATATTATTGAATTAAATTTATTATATTATTATTTTTTATGATTATTTATTAAATTATAATTTATGATTTCGTGTTTCAAATTTTATCATACCCGGGATGTTTACTAGACTCTTGTTCGAACAGATTTCAGTGAGTTATTCCTAAAAATGACAGGCCTACAATAAAAAAAATACATATTTTCCATGCAAAAAAATGTACCACTTTGAACATAGAAATATGGACATAATCAGACCGCTAGGGAGGCTACAGCTGAACTCCAGTCTTACCTTCATCTTGCACAGTTGTTCAGGCTCCTCTCCTGTATTGCTCACTTTGACATGACCTGACTTTTTCTGTTGTCAGAATACATGTATAGCTGTCATTCCATATTATGTCCTGACTACTGGATTTAATTGTATGCAGGTGGATGACAAGGAAAATGCCACAGCCAAGCATGCTTTGTTCAGCCGGCACCCAGAGATGGCCAAATGGCCCCATGACCACAACTGGTTCTTTGCCAAACTCAACATCACCAACATCTGGGTATTGGACTACTTTGGGGGAATCAAAACTGTGACACCAGACGAGTACTACAAGGCCAAACCATGGTAAGTGTACTTCTGCCATCAACACAGTTGTTTAATTTCCAAGGCCTGAGCTATGGTCTGCCAGGGAGGAGGAATGGTCACACATAGGTCATGGATTTTCAAATTCCTTCATGTGTCGATGTTTACTGAACTATATTCCTGTTATTGGAGGGCAGCACAGTGGCTGAATGGTTAGCACTTCCTCCTGGCAGTACAAGGGTTGTTGGTTTTGAATCCCAACCATGGCACCACCTGCCTGGAGTTTGCATGTTCTCCCTGTGCCTGCGTGGGTTTCCTCCGGGTCCTTCGGTTTCCTCCCACGCTCCAAAGACATGCTGGTAGGTTAATTGACTTCTCTCTAAATTGGCCCTAGTATGTGTATGTATGAATGTAAGTTAGGGACTTTATATTGTACACCCCTTGGGGTAGGGACTGATGTGAATGTACAATAAATGATAGTCCGCCCCTGTTAGGGAAAGCTTGAATAAATTGAATGCGCAATATAATACCTATATGTAAAGCGTTGAATAAATTGATGGCTCTATATAAGCACCTATAATAATTGTACTAAATTTGCAAACTTTTATACATTATCCCTGGAGTGGGGTATGTGCTTCACACAATGGGGGAGATTTACTAAAACTGGTGCGGCTTTTTATAGAAACCAATCAGCTTCTCACCTCGGCTTGTTCAGTTACACTTTGACAATAAAACCTGGAAGCTGATTGGTTTCTATGCAGAGCTGCACCAGATTTTGTGTGCACCAGTTGTAGTAAATCTTCCCCAATGCCTCCCAAACATGCAACTGGTGAGACTAAAAACCATCAGTCATGATTGGACTTGAACAGGAATCTCAGTATTCCATCTCGGGTCATTGGAATTATTAAATATTTATGTTTTACTCCTTTTATATATATTTTATATTTCACTCCTTTACTTACAGTCATGACAAAAAATATTGCCCCCCCCCCCTTGCATTTCTGTCAGATAATGCACCACTTCTCCCAGAAAATTGTTGCAATCAGAAATGTTTAGGCCTTCTCATGTTGTATTTATTGGTATGACGCAAAAAAGTGGAAAAACAAAAAGCCAAATGTGACTCATTCCACGCAAAACCCCCAAAATGGACTGGACAAAATTATTGGCACATTCAATGTAATATTTGGTAGCACAGCCCTTGGAGAAAGTAACTGAAATCAATGGCTTCCTATAACCATCAATGAGTTTCTTCCACCTCTCTACTGGAATTTTGGAGCGCTCTTCTTTCACCAACTGCTCCAGGTCTCCCAGATTGAAAGGGTTCCTTTTCCCAACTTTTGGTTTGAAATAAACATGAGACTGCCTAAATATCTGTAAGTGCAACAATTTTCTGGGTGAAGTGATGCATTATCTGACAGAAATGCAGGGGTGCCAATATTTGTGGCCATGACTGTATGTTCCTGGTGGCTCACTTATGGCCATTTGCTGCCTATTGTTTGGCCCTGGGGCACCAGCAGACAGTAGTGGCAGCACTGATTTGTGAAGGTACAGTAATGATAGTGATATCTAGCAGTCTTATGAAATCCATTCCCAGTCTCTAACAGTTTCCTGCAGCATATCTCCAGTCTCCAACCATAACTGTAGCACGTCCTGTAGTCACTGACTTCCTGTAGCATTACATATGCTGAATACTACATCATCATTATTATTATTACACAGGATTTATATATTATTATTATTATACAGGATTTATATTATTATTATTATACAGGATTTATATTATTATTATTATACAGGATTTATATTATTATTATTATACAGGATTTATGTATTATTATTATTATACAGGATTTATATATTATTATTATTATTCAGGATTTATATATTATTATTATTATACAGGATTTATATTATTATTATACAGGATTTATATTATTATTATACAGGATTTATGTATTATTATTATTATACAGGATTTATATATTATTATTATTATTATACAGGATTTATGTATTATTATTATACAGGATTTATATTATTATTATACAGGATTTATATATTATTATTATTATACAGGATTTATGTATTATTATTATTATACAGGATTTATATATTATTATTATTATTATTATACAGGATTTATATATTATTATTATTATACAGGATTTATATTATTATTATTATTATTATTATTATTATTATACAGGATTTATTTTTTATTATTATTATTATACAGGATTTATATATTATTATTATACAGGATTTATGTATTATTATTATTATACAGGATTTATGGCGCCAACAGTTTGCTCAGCGCTTTACAATATAACGAGAGACAATACAGCAACAATACAGTTCAATACAAGAGGGATAGGAGGGCCTGATCCTGGGAGCTTACAATCTAGGAGGGAGGATGCCACTGAACCATCCCTCCAGGGGCTGTTGGGGCCGTATTTAAGGCTCCCTATGTCTAGTAACTTGACCACCACTGACTTAGATTGTCTGCCTGAATCTGAAACTTCAAAGAGAAGTTTGGGATTCATTAAAAATAAAACATAGTCATCTAGTTGGATGCAACGTTGGTCCAGTGTGGTATCTGTCCTTTGACAGAGAAATGAGCGATCAGACACTGCTGATCCCTCAGTTCTCAGTCTGCAGGCTGCAAAGAGCTGGTGACTGTCAGTCTCTGGCTCTATGCTCTACCCCTTCAGCGCTCACTAAGCTGTGGATGGGGTGGAAGCAGTTGGCTCTCAGGAAGAGGCTAGTCCTCGAAACACGTCAGCCATTTTGGATGGCCATCATTCTCATCATTATTCAAAAAACGCAGTGCGAATTGGACAGAGCGGTCCCTTATGATGTGCCTTCTATTTATTTACTATTGTGAGTAGAATACCTTCTTCTTTTATATTTAATGAACATACTTTTAAAGGTAATGCACAAGGCCGGTGCTCCCTCTGTTTTTTTTTTCTCTATTAGTATTTTTGGACTCCCCGGTTCTTTGAGGGCAGCAAGGCGTGCATATTCCAAGATTTTCATTGTGTGGTCCCTATGGCATAGAGTCCATCCCTAAGCACAGAAATATCTGGGTTTTCCACTTTCACAAGGCTCTCAGCGGCTCACTGACAGGCTGAGCCAGCTTCCAGTCCTGGCATCGGGGTGGATCCAACATTAAAATCAGGATCCTTCCAAAGTTTGGACCGGCTCTGTGACATTAGCCAACAGTGGACCCTTAAGCGGAGCTCCACTCACGCTGTAAAAAAATAAAAGTCAGCAGCTACAAAAGCTGTAGCTGCTGACTTTTAAAAAACAGCCACTTACCTGTCCCACGATCTCACAGTGTCCTCCCCGCAGCCCGTTTCACCAGCCGTCTGGTGTTCCAGGCATCTTTAGTGTGGGCACCCACTGTGACAGTAAATCCAATATTCTGAAGCGCAAGAGGAGGCCCAGTACAGTAAGGATCTCAGTAAATGCTGCATTGCCCAGGAGAGTTCTGGATTCATCTGTCTGTTACCATCAGATAGATGAATCCAGAAGCTCCATAGAAAAAAACAGTGCTGTGGTGGTAGTAATATAAAAACTCCACTAGGGGGAGTACTTATATTGGAATAAGCCAGGGGTGGGCAACTGTGGCCCTCCAGCTGTTGGTGAACTACAAGTCCCATCATGCCTCTGCCTTTGGGAGTCATGCTTGTAACTGTCAGTTTTGCAATGCCTCATGGGACTTGTAGTTCTACAACAGCTGGAGGGCCACAGTTGCCCACCCCTGGAATAAGCAATGGAACATAAAAACACTTGAGCCCCTTGCTTGGAGGAAGTGCTTGGGTCAGGTGGACGGTCCACTCAGGGATGATGTGCAGTGGTGATGAATGGACTTGAGCCTGTCAGATGCAGGGACCACGTGATCGCAGCGTCCCGGGATGATGTCACTGCATCACTGCGATAGCCAGGAGACGGAGGGGAAGCCCAGAGTACTGCCGCAAGCAGGGGAGGTAGGGCCGGTTACCAGGACGGCATATTTCGCACACATGTGCTTTCTCAAGTCCTGGAAAGGGAGAGGTAATTGGCCATTTTATAGGAGACCGAGCAGCCGAGGGCCGGCCTTAAAGGGTGATGGGATTGAGTGTTAGGGACAGAGCGGATGGCTCATCCCACCTGTGGGTCATATAACAATTAAAGCAATTAAGACAGGGAAAATAACTTTTAAAACATGCTCAAAATTGACAATGGACACGTTGGTGATGATGAAAGCTTTTTAACCAGACATATGATCACAAAGTGACCTGAATTATTGTGACATGATTGTACAGAGGATTTTAACCATAGACAAGCAATTTGGAAATTAGTGAATCCCCAAGTATGTGACAACCTCTAAAATTCACACCTAAATAATGTAAAAATTGGACAATAAAAAAAAAAAAAATATATATATATATATATATATATTAATACAGAATTAATTAAGAAATTCATTAAAAGATATTTTATATATTCCAACCATGGCACCACCTGTCTGGAGTTTGCATGTTCTCCCTGTGCCTGTGTGGGTTTCCTCTGGGTACTCCGGTTTCCTCCCACACTCCAAAGACATGCTGGTAGGTTAATTGGATCCTGTCCAAATTGGCCTTAGTATATGAATGTAAGTTAGGGACCTTAGATTGTACACCCCTTGAGGGTTAGGGACTGATGTGAATGTACAATATACATGTAAAGCGCTGTGTAAATTGACGGCGCTATATAAGTACCTGAAATAAATAGATTAATAAATAATATATATATATATATATATATATATATATATATATATATATATATTATTTATATATACTAAAAACAAAAATAATAATAAAAAATAAAATAATAAAAAAAATATAAAATAATATATATGTATATGTGGAACTGAAAACACTTATGAAATGCAGTAGATGGATCAAGTGTGAATTATAAGAGCAAATGATATTGGATCATTACTTGCGGACGGATCATTAAAAATATATATCATGCATAATTACATAAACATTAAGATAGGATATTACATTAGAATGTCAGGTATGATGCTG